GAAAGACACTAGCTAATTGTACTAAGCCTAGCTCTAGGAAGGATGTGGACAAATAGAAGAGAATCCAGAGAAGAGCAACAAAAAATGACCCATGAGGGAAGATTGAAAAACTTGGGTTTGTTTAGTCTGGAAAAGAGAAGACTGAGAGGGGACATGATAACAGTTTTCAAGTACATAAAAGGTTGTTACAAGGAGGAGGAAGAAAAATTGCTTTTCTTAACTTCTGAGGATAGGACAAGAAGCAATGGGCTTAAATTGCAGCAAGGGAGATTTAGGTTGGACGTTAGGAAAAACTTTCTAACTGTCAAGGTGGTTAAGCACTGGAATAAATTGCCTAGGCAGGTTGTGGAATCTCCATCTTTGGAGATTTTTAAGAGCAGGTTAGACAAACACCTGTCAGGGATGGTCTAGATAACACTTAGTCCTGTATGAGTAAAGGGGACTGGACTAGATGACCTCTCAAGGTCCCTTCCAGTCCTATGATTCTATGATAATACAAGTCCCTTACTCACAAACACTCACCACATATGTTCTCCCTTCCCCTTCCAGAGTACTTATAGAATCTTCAGAAAATTACTCCTGGGGGAATTCTGTGCCACTGCACAAGCACAGAATTACTGTCTCCCGCAGATTTTTTTTCTCCGCAGAAAATACATTCTACCAGAGAGGTGCTGCAGTTACACCTTTTGCCCATCTGGGGCTGTTGTGGCACCAGAACAGAGAGCAGCAGGCTCACCGGCAATAGCAGCCATCAGCTGGCTGCGTTCCTCACAGTGGCCGGGGATGGGGGGGGGGGCACACAGGGCTGCTGGGGGGTCACACAGATTGGGGTTCAGAAGGGCTAGTGGGGGGGATAGACTGGGGGAAGAGGCTGAATGGGAATAGGGGGGCAGGGCTACTTGGGGACAGGGTGGCTGAATGGGGGTCCAGGGATACATGGGGACGGGAGCAGATGTTCCTGACTGAATAGGAGAGGCTAGGGGTCAGCGAGGGTCTGCTTGGGGGAGGCTCCCCAACAATCCCTCTCCCCCAAAATAACCTGTTCCATACTTCTCTCACCCACACCAACAACCCTCCAGGTTTACTCCCAGGCTCCTTCCCAGCATTTACTTC